AGAATTCAATCAGTGGATGAGAAATTCTTTCTCTAATTCCCATCCTCTCAAATAAATAAAAATTTTCAAAAATTTCCAATTTTCAAAAAATGTTGACTTTATCCCCTAGCCCATACTTTGCTTTGCCTAAGTGTTGATGGCACATATAAATATAAAGCTTTACTATTTCAATTTACACTGGAAGAAAACACTACAGAAAAGGAAAGGAGGGGCTGGCACTGTGGATAGCAGGCTAAGCCTTCACCTGCAGCGCCAGCACCCTATATGTTCATCGGTTCAAGTCTCAACTGCCCCACTTCCACTTCAGCTCCCTGCTAATGGCCTGAGCAAAGGAGTGGTGGATGGTCCAAAAGTTTGGACCTCTGCATACCCATGTAGAACCGTGGGTGCAGGAAGCAGGGACTCCTGGCTCCCGGGTTTGGCCTGATGAAGCTTGGGCCACTGCAGCCACATCAGGTGTGAACCAGCTGATGAGGGACCTTTCTATCTATCTCTCCCTCTCTGTCTGTAACTCTGCCTCTCTAATAAACAGATCTTTAAAAAAAACAGAAACAAACCTGCCATATGCTTCAGCAATCCCACTACTGGATATACACCCAAAAGAAATGAACATTATTGTATCAAAGAGATAGCTCTACCACCATGTTGATTGCAATATGGTTCACAGCAATCACAAGGAATAAACAAGAACTTATTTATAAAGATTAAACAAAGATTTCTGTCATCAGGAGAATAAGAAGACATGGTACAGATCTACAATGAAATGTTATTCAGGACTTAACAATAATGAAATTTTATCAAGTGCATCAACATGGAGTAACTGGAGGACTTCAAGTTAGAGAAATAAGCCAGAGGGCCGGTGCAAAGCCAACCGTAGCGACCATATGGGTAATGAACCAACAGAAGGAAAACCTTTCTCTCTGTCTCTCTCTCATTGTCTATAACTCTACCTGTCAAAAATTTTTAAAGAAAAAAGAAAAATGAAATAAGCCAGAAAAAGAAAAATACCACATGTAAGTTAACTTTGTTAAAAAATTAAAACACAAAAACAAAAAAAAGTAAATGCCAATGTGTAGCACTACTGCTGCAAATATACTCTTAGAAAACAATGTTTGATAACCTGGACAAACCAATTGTTAAGAACAGAGTACTGGGGCCGGAATGGTGGCATAGTAGGTTAAGAATCCACTGTGGTGCCGACATCCCATATGGACACCAGTTCAAGTCCAGCTGTTCCACTTCCAATCCAATTCCCTGCTGATGGCCTGAGAAAGCAGTGGAAATGGCCCAAGGGCTTGGGCCCCTGCAACCTACTGGGAAAGATGGAAGAAGCTCTTGGTTCCTGGCTATGGACTGGTCCAGCTCCAGACATTGTGGCCATTCGTGCAATGAACCCATATGGATGGAAGACCTCTATCTCTATGTCTTCCTCTCTATGTAACAATGCCTCTCAAGAAAATAATTTTTAAATAAAAGTATACTGCTCTGGTGGAACTTTATTCTTTCTACCTTTTTCCTATGAATATTATGAATATTATGGCTACCCTGAATATAACATGGATTAAAATCATATTTTGAAAAATTGATGAAAAGAAGAGGCCATGAAGGGAGGGGAAAGGGGAAGAGAGGAAGGTCTGGGTTTATTCTTGGAACTGTACCTAAAGAATGCATGGAATATGTTCTCTTTTCATTCATTTTAAAAATAATTGAAGGGGCAGGTGCTGTGCGGCAGTGTGTTAAAGCCCAGGCTTGAAAGGTGGGCACCCCACATGGGCACAGGTTCTAGTTCACGCTGCTCCTCTTCTGATCTAGCTCTCTGCTATGGACTGGGAAAGCGGTAGAAGATGGCCCAAGTCCTAGGACCCTGCACCTACGTGGGAGACTGGGAGAAGCTCCTTGTTCATAACTTTATCGGCTAACTTCAAGCCATTGTGGCCATTTGGGGATGAACCAGCAGAGGGAAGATCTCTCTCTCTCTCTCTCTCTCTCTCTCTCTCTATATATATATATATATATATACCTCTTTCAGAAATTCTATCTTTCAAATAAATAAATCTTTAAAAAATGAAAAAGAGGCCGGCACTGCAGTGCCATAGGCTAATCCTCTGCATGCAGTGCCGGCACACGGGTTCTAGTCCCGGTTGCTGTTTGTTCTAGTCCTGCCACTCCACAGCGGCCATTGGAGGGTGAAGCAACGGTAAAAGGAAGACTTTTCTCTCTGTCTGTCTCTCTCACTGTCCACTCTGCCTGTTAAAAAAGTGAAAAAGAAACAAGAATGTTACTTTAGTATAGTTGTGACAATCTGTGATTACTTTAAATTTAGAGTGTATTGAATAAATGGTTATTTTTCCATTCAACCAATTATATTTTTTGCTTATATTCCCACTAAACTAGTGTTTCTGTTTTTTCCTTATTTTTAGAAGATTTATTTTGTTTACCACAAAAACACTGTTACATACAGAGAGAGAGAAAGAGGAAGAGATCTTCCATCTGTTGCTTGACTTCTCAAATGGCCAAAACAGTCAGCACTGGACCAAGATGAAGACAGGAACCAAGAGCCTTTTCCAGGTGTCCCACATGGGTGCAAAGTCACAAGCACTTGGGGTGTCCTCTGATGCTTTGGTGCACTAGCATCGAGCGGGATCAGAAATGGACTAGGGACTAGAGCTGTGGCATTCTAAGTAAAGGTGCCTCCTGCAGTGTCGGCATCCCATATGGGTGCTGGGTCAAGTCCAGCTGGAGGACTTCTGATCCACCTCTCTGTTATGGCCTGGGAAAGTAGTGGAAGATGACCCAATCCTTGCGCCCCTACAACTGCATGGGAAGACCCCGAGGAAGCTCCTGGGTCCTGGTTTCAGATCAGTGCACCTCCAACAACTGTGGTCTTCCAGGGAGTGAACCAGCAGATGGATTGCAAGGCTTCTCACTCACTCTCTCTGCCTCTGCCTCTCTGTAACACTGCCTTTCAAATAAATGAATACATCTTGAAAAAAAAAAAAAGAAGTGGAGTAAATGGGACTTGAACCAGCACCCGTAGGGGATGCCAAACATTGGACCACCTGTTTTTTAGTTCCTGAACTTCTTATTTGGTAAAGAATTTAGCCATTTTACTCTAATGCAAATTTAAAAACTATCCAAAAATGGATGAAAGTAAGGAAGTCAGGAAGGGAGGGACAAAGGGCAAAAAAAAAACAAAAAGGAAGACGTACACTGGGAGAGACAGTGTTGGAAGGAGAGCAGAACGGAATGTTGCTTTATTAGTAGTATTGTTCTATAAAATATATGGAAGAATTTCTTAACCTAAGAAGTAAATATATCCACTTGGGACAATATCAATCTTTAATAGAAATTTATATAAAATAGGTAAAATAGGTAAGCACTCACATTACAGGAAAATTTAATATATAAAATATGCATGTTCATAAAAGTCTGTACTTGGAAAATCCTATGACATTTATAAAAATATAAGTTTGAAAATATTTCTGTAAAAATAACCTAAAAGTAAGAATATAAAAGCTATATAATTCTGATGTTACTCAAAAATAACACTGCATTGTAAAAATGAACATCCTATAGAAAAACTTAAGGAAAAACTTGCATTCCTAATAACTGTGACAGTGTGAAAAAAAAACACATGGTTTAATGGCTCACAAAAGCAAATGGAAATATCAGAGATGGGAAAAAATCAAATGAGGAATAGGAAGTACTACAAAGTATACATTCCAACATAAGGGGAAGATATTTCAAGAACTCCTACCTGGTAAAGTCCTGCAGGACCAAGTCCTCCCCAGCCCCCAAACAGCAATCAGAACAAACACTCCATGAAAGCAGAAGCTTTCACACAGAGCTGCCTAGAAGGATATGGAAAACATGCACCACGACAAAGCTGTGCGCAGTTCATCAAATGTCTTGAAAGACAACAAACTCACAACTGCTTCTTTCCACAAACTTTTCAAAGTACCTCACACTGGCCCCTGCATTACATAAAACAAAGAGAACAAATGCTGGCACATAACAGAAACATCTTTGAAAGACAAGAAATACACCTTTACCAAGAGAGAGTCCCTCTGCCCAAATTCAGACTTCTATAAGCTGACCTCAAGCCTCAAATGTCATTCCAGGCTTGATCAGGTTCTTGTCTTCCTAAGCACAACACCTATCCAGTTTTCTCCCACATAAGCCTCTCTCCATCCCTGGTATTCCAAGACCTTTGTAGAAGTTTCCTAATTAACCGTGCACCCATACCACAGTCCCTAAGAAAGAACACACTGCACCCCTCACGCTTTTTTTACCCTCATTTTCCCAAGGTTTTTGCTCAAGCCCTGTCCCAGGTCTAACACTTGGAGACTCCACCACTTCTTCTAGTAGACCTACCAGCTCCTCCCTATTACACTCTACTGAGGTCACCTGACCCCCTCCATTCAATCCTTCCATTTCCCTATCTATATCACAGGATAGTGATAGACAGAAATTACCTGATTTCAGCTCCCAACACCTTGCATGCCCCAGGTTCTTCCATGACATCTAACCCTCCACTCCCACCACACATAATACTTTCCAATCCTGTCATGCTTAGCTCCAAAATCTCAAACCCAAACTTTTATTAACACATCTCTCCAAACCAGACAGACCTCTTGGGTTTTGTACTCTGGACTCAACAGCACACACTTTTCCTCTAGGTCTCCCTCCCATTTCCTAGATACCCAAATCTTCCCCTCTTACCATCTTCTTTGGCCCCTAATTCTCTGCAGAGCCCCAGGACTTATTCCCCAACATCCTATCCACACCCCGTCTCCATGGTCTCCAACTCTACTGAAGCCCACCAGGCCCCTACATTTCTCCCCATGCCTGTGGGGCTACCCCACATGGCCCTCCCTGTCACAGGATGGAAGTCCACATCACTATTGTCTGGGCTGCCCAACCCCAGGGAACGGCTGTCCCTTCCCTTCCCCTTGGGCACCCAGGCCACGGCCACCACTGGGGCGGCCACATCTGCTCACCAGTTGCTCCTCTCCAGGATGAAGGCCCAGCTGGTGTTGAGCAGAAGCCGTGTAGTCTCCGGAACTGGAATATTATCCAGCAGCTGAGTTTCAGCGTCCACCCTGCGTTAGTTTCACATCTGTGTCCTCTGTGGGGGAGGAGGGGAGACAGACATCCGCTTCTTGGCTTCCTCATGGCTGAGCTGCTGCCCACCCGTGCTGCCTCTGAACCTGCGGATTTGGGCGAGAACGCCATGGGAAGATGCCCTGGATATCTCTGTCCCGTAAATTTAAGTGCAGCTAATTCCTCCCGCACTCTCCAAGCCTAACATAACACTGCTGCCAATAACACCGCCAGTCGACAACGACGCCACTGCAGCAGACGTCACCTACTTCTCCCTGAGGCCTACTGCACAAGCGCCATCCGACTAACACCCGCCCCTTCCTCCCAGGATACACAGCGTCAGCGGAAGAGGCCCCGCTGCCTTGATGAACCAGGGAAAACCACCTTAGTAGCCACAGCCTGGCATGGCCGCCCTGTGCTCACCACGATCAGCAGTGCTCCAGGGACATCGTGGATCCCCATCCAGCCCACCAGAAGCTCTGGGCAGTGTGCAGTTCTCTAGACCTCCGGCTGACACCCAGCAACTCCCGTTGGTGCAGTGCTCTGCTAAACTGCCCGTGGTCAGGGTACAGAACGGCGGATGCCCGCCCAGCATCCTTGAGCAGGTCGGAGCCGGGGATGCTGCCCGGAGTCATACAAGCAGGGCTGGTGCTGCCTTACACCGCGTTAAAGCCACGGCATGCAGTGCTGTCTTTCCATGTGGGTGTCAGTGTGCATTCTGGCAACACCACTTCCGATCCAGCTCCCTCCTTATGCGCCTGGGGAAGCAGTGGAGGATGTCCCAATTCCTTGGGCCCCTACAGCCACATGGGAGACCCAGAAGGTGGTCCTGGATCCTGACTTCATATTGGCTCAGTCTGGCCATCATGGTCTTTCGGGGAGTGTACTGGCAAATGGAAGACCTTCTCCCTCTCTCACTCTCATCCTCCCTCACTCTCACTCACGTGCTCTTGCTGTTTCTCTCTTTGTTTTTCTTGCAAATGAATGCATGAAAACTTTTTTAAAAAACCACATTATCATCTCATTACATACAGAGAAATAATCAGAAGAGATTCACTCTCAGTCATGCTAAACAAACAAACAAACAAAAAACCACAGAGTGGGTATAGAAGGAATAGGCATCAAAATCAAAATGGCTATGTATGACAAATCAACAGCCAATGCCATGCTGGATGGGCAAAAAGTGAAAGCATTTTTGTCAAACATGTAACGCAAGGATGCCCCTTTTACCACTCTGAATGCAGTACTGTAAATTTTCAAAGAGAAAGAAAGGAGAAGAAAGAAACTGCACCTACATTATAAAAGAGAAGTGAAATTCTAAATGCTTGCAGGTGACATGATATGGTACCAGAAAAAAACTAAAACAATCCACCAAAAACACTGCTAGACCTGGTGAAACAATTCTTGAAATCACTGGTTACAAATAAACATAGTGTGTAAGCAGCAGTGCTTATACATTAATGATGAACTCACTGACAGAGCAATCAACAATAATCCCAAGGACAATAGCACAGAAATCAAATGTTTAAGACTAAATTTAACCAAGAAGCCAAAGAGCTCTATCATGAAAATCACCATACACTGATATAAGAAATCACCAACGACTCAAAAAATGGAAAGATATCCCTTTTGGTGGATTTGAAGAATCAGCCTAATTAAAATTTCTACCTTACCTAACACTACCTAAAGATTCAACCAAAATTATATCAAAACATCAATGACGTTCTTTACAGAATTACATAAAACCACCTAAAATTCATAGAAAATCACAGAAGATCCAGAATAGCTAAGGTGTTACTGGGCAAAAAACGAACAGGCCGGCACCGCAGCTCTCTTGGCTAATCCTTGGCCTGCGGCACTGGCACCCCCGGGTTCTAGTCCCGGTTGGGGTGCTGGATTCAAAACTAAATAAACGGGATTAAATGAAATTAAAAGCTTTGCACAGCAAAGGAAATCATCATAGAGTGAAGAGACATCCAACAGGATGAGAAAAAGATATTTGTCAGATACCTATCTGACAAAGCATTAATATCAAGAATGTATCTGCAACTTTAAAAAAACAACAGCAAAAAAACAACCAATTATGAAATGGCCAAAGGAACTCAACAGACAGTTCCCCATAGATATACAGATAACCAATAAATATAGGGAAAAATAGCAACATCACAAGCTATCAGGGAAACACAAATCCAAACCACAATGAGATATCAGCTCACACGTACATATTGGCTAAAACCCAAAGGACAGAGAGTCTCAATGAGGAGGAGGACGTGGGAAAAGGGGAATACATACACACTGGTGGTGGAATGTAAATTAGTGCAGTCACTGTGGAAAACAGTATGGAGATTTCTTAAGAAACCAGAAACAAACTTGTGATATGATATGAAGCAAGCCCTCTACTGGCTAGAACCCAAAATACATGAACGTATTGTTATCAGGGAGATACGTCCACCACAATATTTCTTGCAGTATGGCTCACAGCAGCGACAACAAGAAATTGTTAAAGACTTCAAACATCATCAGTTGAATGGATAAGAATAATTCTCTCTATATATACACAAAAACACACACACACAATGAAACAACCTTACAAATCCCTCTTTCCACAGACTTTTTCATGGACCCTCATGATGCTCTCTGCAGTACCTTAAATAACTAGAACAAATGTGGGCACATAGCAGACACTCCTTTGAAAGCCAAGAAAAATATATTTACCAAGAGAAACTCCTCTGCCCAGATTCTGACTTCTTCAAGCCACAAACTTCATTCATAGGCTAAATAAGGATCTCCATGTTCCCAAGCCCCCTGTCAACCCATTTTCTTTCCAATAACCTCTTCTCCATCTCTTGGTAGTCTGCACACTTTGGTCAAATTTCCTGATTAACTCAGCTCCCATTCCACAATCCCTCCTGAAAGTTCCCTCTGCCCACTTCCTGATATCCTATCCCTCACTTTAACTAAGGTTTCTCCCCAGGGCCTGTCCAGGATCTCACACTCTGATACTCTACTAGTTCTTACAAGCAGACCTATTACAGCTCCTCCCTATTACAACTCTCCTCAAAGTCGCCTGCCTTCCTCCTCACAGTCCTTCCATTTTGCTTTTCTATCAAAGGATGGTGACATACAGACACACACTGTTTTCAGCTCCCAAAACCTTGCATGACCCAAGTTCTTCCAAGCATTTAACCCTCCACTCCTGCGGCATGAAGTACTTGCAATCCCATCGTCCTTAGCCTGAAAATCTAAAACCCAAACAACTATTACCACGTCTCTCCAAACCAGACTCTTATGTTTTGTATCTGAGTCACATATGGCAGTTTTCCTCCCGGTTTCCCCCTCCCACAGCTTCGACAACCAGTTTACCATTCTTAGGATGTTCTTTGGCCCTTAATTCTCGGCAAAAGCCCCAGGGAATTCATTCCCCAATATCTTATTCACTTCTGTCTCTGTGGTTCCTCTATTCTAGGAACACTAGACCCCCACATTTCTGTCTCCACATGTATATAGGGCTCCTAACACTTGACCTTGCATCCCAAAGGTTGGAAGTCCCTTTGCTGGCAGCCTGGACACCTGACCCCAGGGCACACGGTTCCATTCCGTTCCCTCTCCTCGTTGGGCCCAAGGGCTGCCATCAACAGGACACAGCCACATCTACTAACCAGTTGCTCCTGTCCAGGATGAAGGCCCAGCTAGGTTTTACAAGGAAACAGAGCAGTCCCCAGAAATGGAAGATTACCCAGCAGCTGAACTTCCGTGTCACTCGGTGTCCAGTTTCATATCCATGAAAATGTCTACAATAAAGTTACAAAACATTAAGAAATGGAAGAAGACACACAAAAATGGAAAGATCTTCTATGCTGACTCATTGGCAAAATCAACAAGATGCAAATATCCATTCTACCATAAGCAATTTACAGACACAATGGATCCCAAGCAAAGGTCAAATAGCATTTTGCCCAGATGGAGAGAAAACAATGCTAAAATTCATATGAAAACACAGAACATCTGAATAGAGAAAGCAACCTTATACAACATAAAAAACTCATAGCATTGCAATAACAGATTGCAGAAACAGCACAGGACAGTTTCAATGAAAACAGCTTGCTATAGGCAAAAAAAAAAATGACATATATAACAAAGGAACAGAAAAGAAACACCTGAAATAACACACACATCTACAACTAATCTATCTTTCAAGAAGGAGCTAAAGATCAATCCCAGGTTCAAAGGACCGTTTCTTCAAAACAAGGTCCTGAGAAAACTGGACCTCCACATGCAGAACTCTGAAAGAGACCCATACTTTACACCTTATACAAAAAGCAACTAAAACACGTCAAGGAACAAATCTAAAACTCAATATCATCAAACTATTAGAGAACATGGGGAATACTGAATTACATTGGCTTAGACAATGATTTCTGGGACAAAATGCCGTAGCACAATAAAAGCTGAAACAGACAAATGTGATTCCATCAAGCTGAGAAGCTTCTGCACTGCAAAAGGAACACTCAGAAAAGTAAAGAGGCAACCAAAAGGATGGGAGAAAACTATTTGCTAACTATGAAACTGATAAAAGATTAATATCCAGGCCAGCGCTGCTGCTCAATAGGCTAATCCTCCACCTGCAGCACTAGCACTCCGGGTTCTAGTACCGGTCAGGGCGCCAGATTCTGTCCCTGTTGTTCCACACTATACTCTTCACCATTTTCTTACCCTCACTTTTCCTAAGGTTATTGCCCAGGCCCTGTCCCAGGTCTAACACTTGGAGACTCCACCAGTTCTACTAGTAGACCTACCAGCTCCTCCCTATTACAACTCTACTGAAAGACACCTGACCTCCTCCATACACTCCTTCCATTTCCCTGTCTATATCACAGGATAGTGATATACAGAAATTACCTGATTTCTGCACCCAACACCTTGCATGCCCCAGGTTCTTCCATGACATCTAACCCTCCACTCCCACCACACAATTTACTTCTAATCCCATCATTCTTAGCCCCGAAATCTAAAACCCAAACTTTTATTAACACATGTCTCCAATCCAGACTTCTTGGGTTTTGTACTCTGACTCAACAGCACACACTTGTCCTCCAGGTCTCCCTCCCATTTCCTGCATACCCAAGTATTCCCCTATTACCATGTTCTTTGGCCCCTAATGCTCTGCAGAGCCCCGGGGAACTCATTCCCCAACATAATACCCACCCGAGTTTCCATGCTCTCATACTCTACTGAAGCCCACCAGGCCCCTACATTTCTCCCCATTCCTGTGGGGCTACCCACATGACCCTCCCTGCCACAGGGTGGAAGTCCACATCACTGTTTGCCTGGGCCGCCCAATCCCAGGGAACGGGCTGTCCCTTCCCTTCCCCTTGGGCACCCAGGACATGGACACAACTGAGGGGGCCACATCTGCTCACCAGTTGCTCTTCTCCAGGAAGAAGGTCCAGGTGTCATTGAGCAGGAAGCCATGCAGTCTCTGGAACTGGAAGAACACCCGGCAGTTGCGATTCACCGTCCACTCTGGGTGAGTTTCACATCCAGGTCCTCTGGGAGGGAGCAGGGGAGGCAGACATCCACTTCTTGGCTTCCTCACAATAGATCTGCCGCCCACCCACACGGCCTCCAAGCCTGCAGATTTGGGGGGAGAATGCCGCTGGGTAGATGCCCTGGGCAACTCTGTCCCATAAGTTAAATGCAGTAAATCCCTCCTGCACTCTCCAAGCCTACCATACTGCTGCAGCCTATAACACCTCTTTCTCTCTCTCACTCTCATCTTTTTCACTCTCTCTCACTCACCTGTTCTCACTATGTTTCTCTCTCTGTAATTCTGCAAAAAATGCAATAAAGCTTCTTAAAAAAAAACATTATCATTTCATTAGATACAGAGAAATAACCTGAAAAGATTCAATCCCATTCATTATTAAAAAAAAACCTCCACAAAGTAGGTATAACAGGAATAGGCAGGCCGGCGCCGCGGCTCACTAGGCTAATCCTCTGCCTTGCGGCACCAGCAAACCAGGTACTAGTCCCGGTCGGGCGCCAGATTCTGTCCGGTTGCCCCTCTTCCAGGCCAGTTCTCTGCTGTGGCCAGGGAGTGCAGTGGAGGATGGCCCCAAGTGCTTGGGCCCTGCACCCCATGGGAGACCAGGATAAGTATCTGGCTCCTGCCATCGGATCAGCATGGTTTGCCTGCTGCCGCATGCCAGCTGCAACAGCCATTGGAGGGTGAACCAATGGCAAAAGGAAGACCTTTATCTCTGTCTCTCTCTCTCTCTCACTGTGCACTCTGTCTGTCAAAAAAAAAGGATTAGGCATCAAAATCATAAAGGCTAAGTATGACAATTCAAAGCCAATGGCATGCTGGATGGGTAAAAGTGAGAGCATTTTGTCAAACATGTAACACAAGGATGTCCCTTTTTACCACTCTGACAGAATGCAGTACTGTAAATTTTCATAATGAAAGGAGAATAAAGAAAGAAATAGTACCTAGATTATAAAAGAGAAATTGAAATTCTAAATGCTTGCAAGTAACATGCTATGGTACCAGAAAAAACTAAAACAATCCACCAAAAACGCTGCTAACTGGTGAAACAATTAAGTGAAGTCTCACGTTACAAATAAGCATACTGTGTAAGCAGCAGTGTTTATACATTAATGAGGAACTCACTGACACAGCAATCAAAAAAATCCCAAAGACATAACGACAGAAATAAAATGTTTAAGACTAAATTTTGCCGGTGCCACGGCTTACTAGGCTAATCCTCTGCCTTGCAGTGCTGGCACACTGGGTTCTAGTCCCGTTGCCCCTCTTCCAGGCCAGCTCTCTGCTGTGGCCAGGGAGTTCAGTGGAAGATGGCCCAAGTGCTTGGGCCCTGCACCCTATGGGAGACCAGGAGAAGCACCTGGCTCCTGCCACTGGATCAGCAAGGTGCACCGGCCGCAGTGCTCTGGCCACAGCAGCCATTGGAGGGTGAACCAATGGCAAAAGGAAGACCTTTCTCTCTGTCTCTATCTCTCTCTCTTACTGTCCACTCTGCCTGCCCAAAAAAAAGATTAATGTAACCAAAGAAGCCAAAGAGCTCTATCATGAAAACTGCCATACACTGATGAAAGAAATCACCAAGGACACAAAAAATGGAAAGATATCCCTTTTGGTGGATTTGAAGAATCAGTATGATTAAAATCTCTACCCCACCTAAAGCTACCTAAAGATTCAATTAAATTTGTATCCAAACACCAATGACATTCTTTATAGAATTACATATAACAGACTGAAAATTCATAAAAATCACACAACATCCAGAATAGATAAGGTGTTCCTGTGAAAAAAGACAAAACAAAATTAGCCTAGATGCCTCACAACACCTGATTCAAAGTATTCTACAAATCTACACTAAACAAAATATCAAAGCACTTGCAGAAAAAGTGACACGCAGACCAGTGGAAGAAAACAAGGCGCTCCAATATTAATCCAAATATGTACAACACCAGATTTTTAGGATTCAGATCTATTCATTGGAGTAAGGAAAAACTCTTGAACAAATGCCGTTGGCAAAAATGGATGTATTTGTGTAGAACACTGAAATTAGATTCATAATTCCCATAAAACAGGAAAATCAAATCAAAACAGATCAGAGACCTAAATCTATAACCTGAGACTACGAAGCTTTTTGAAGGTAATAGAAAGAAAAGCTCCAAGACACTGGAATAGGCGATGACCCTTGGAAAAGACCCTCAAAGACCAGCAGCAAAATCAAAACTAAACAAATGGAATTAAATGAATTAAAAGCTCTGCATAGCAAAGGAAGTCATCACAGATAGAACAGACATACAACAGAATGAGCAGAAGATATCTGTCAGCTACCTATCTGACAAAGAATTAATATTAAGAATACATCTGCAACTTAGAAAAAAATAGCAGCAAGAAAAACACAACCAATCAGATATGAAATGGCCAAAGGAACTCAACAGAAAGTTCCCCATAGATATACAGATGTCCAACAAATACAGGAAGAAATGCTCAGCATCATAACCTATGAGGGAAATGCAAATCCAAACCACAATGGGATATCAGCTCACACGTACATAGTGGCTAAAACCCAAAGATCAGAGAGTCACAATGATGAGGAAGATGTGGGACAAGAAGAACACTTACACACTGGTGGTGGAAATGTAAATTGGTGCAGCTGCTGTGGAAAACGGTATGGAGATTTTTAAGAAACCAGAAACAGACTTGCCATATGATGGAGCAACCCATCTATTGGATATAACCCAAAACACATGAACATATTCTATTAGAGAGATACGTACACAAATTTATTGCAGTATGCTTCACGGCAGTGAAAACAAGACATTTTCATCAGTTAAATGCGTAAGCATAATACTATACACACATACGTACACACACACAACCACTCTCACACACACAATGAAACAACCTTAAAAATCCCTCTTTCCACAAACTTTTTCAAACACCCTCATGATACTCTCTGCATTACCTTAAGTAATTAGAACAAATGTGGGCACATAGCAGAAACTCCTTTGAAACCCAAGAAAAACACGTTTACCAAGAGAAAGTCCTCTGCCAGAGTTCTGACTTCTACAAACTGACTACAAGCCACAAACTTCATTCCCAGACAAAGACAGGGTCTCCATGTTCCCAAGACCCTATCAACCCTTATTTTTTCAGATAAGATCCATCTCTGATCTCTGTACTCCTCTCATCTCTGGTACTCTGTAGACTTTGCTCAAGTTTCCTGATTAACTAAGCCCCCATTGCCCAGTCCCTCCTGGAAGTTCCCTCTGCCCGCCTCCTGATATCCTTTCCTCACCTTTCCTAAGGTGCTCCCCAGGACTGTCCCTATCACACTATGATGTTCCACTAGTTTCTACATGTAGACCTACCAGCTCCTCCCTATTGCAACTCTCCTCAAAGTCACCTGTCGCTCCCCTTCATGGGGAAGACACAGGACCCTTCTGTTCCAAAAAATGGAATAGATTCCTTGCTTGTGGATTGGAAAATCTGTATCATTAAAATATCTATCTCATGTGAAAGAAACTAAGAATACCAATGATATTCTGTACAGAATTAGAAAAAATCACCCCTCAAATTCATACAGAACCACAGAAGATCCATAATCCGCTAAGGTGATCTGAGAATATAAAAATCAAGCTGGAGACATCACAATACCGACTTCACAGCATACTAAAAAACTATACTAATTAAACATCATGTGACTGGCAATAAGAAAACTGGACATAGACCAAATGGAGAGAAACAGAGAATCCCTAAGTCAATCTAAATAATATGGCCACCTGATTTTTGACAAAAGGGTTCAGATCATTCATTGGTGTAAGGATAATCTCTTCAACAAATGGTGCTGGCAAAGCTTGATGTATTCATGTAGAATGGAATTAGATGCATATCTCTCATCATTTATAAAAATCAACTGAGATGGGGCAGCCGTGCACTTCTCAGAAGACTGTTCTTACAAGTATGGTCAAAACAGTGAGGCCAGGTGCCAGTGCTGTGGTGTAGGGGTAGGGCCACCAGCGGCACAGGCATCCACTGATCGACCGGTGCCTGCCCTGGCTGCTCCAATTCTGATCCAGCTCCCTTTTAGAGGCCTGGGAACGGCTGCTGAGGATGGTCGATTGTTTGGGCCTCTGTCACCCTGTGGGGAGACAATGTTGTGCCCCTGGCTCCTGGCTTCTATAGCCAGTGGATGAAAGATCTCTGTCTCTCCATCCCTCTCTGTAACTCTGACTTTCAAATAAACAAATAAATCCCCCAAACAAACCAAAAATCTGTAGTGTTTCTCATTAAGGGCTTGAAGCCTTGTGGGGAAAGTTCATCAGGCTAACTAGAGGATGAGAATAAAAAGGGGGGGGCCATGTACGGACACGAGTCTTTCTCTCGCTCACCTCTCAAAGGCAACAAGACAAAGAGCAGGCGCAATTCTGGACATACTTAAAGCAGTGCCCCCATCAGCC